AATTTAATATGGTTTATTTTGATCTCTTTTTTATTTTATTTGAATGAACTTTGCTCTGTTAGTTTGTTTTTGTTGCTTGCATGAGCTATAACCTGTTTGTTTTRTTATGGATTTTCAGTAAATCTAATTTGAATCTTGTCCATGCATGGTACAGAACATGTATTAAACTATACTACAATATACTATACCTAGAACACAAAATAGTCTCTTTGTGATAAAAACACGAGAAAAAGTTGAAAATATACACACACACACAGAGCTACTTTATCTTGATGCACATCTCTTTCAGCAGCTCCATCTCAACTTTTCTTCCAGCTTGACGACTGCACACCCGTCTGCCCTGCAGCTCGACACCTCCGCTCTCCAGAGAGTGCTGACGCAGCTAACGTACTTTTCATATCTCGCTCTCCCTTAGTCTTCCAAAAGGTCAGCCTGCCCTGCCCTCTCCTGTCCTCCCTCTCCTCTGCGAGCATCCTTCACTGCACATCCTTCACGCTCTCTCCCCAACCCTCCTCCTCCTCCTCTTCCCCCATATTCATTAGTGTAATGAGTTCAAGCAGCAGCCAATGTCAGCCGACAGTCACACTTATCAGCACTGAAGCCCTTAACCAAAGAGCCACTCCCTCAAAATGTGATCTGCATCTCTGACCAGATCGATACGTTGAGGAACGAACCCTCATCATGGCCTTCAAGGTTAAACAGGAGATAAATTAAAGCCTTAATATTCCTTAAAATAATGCATATCGCCTGCTATCTTTCATGCCGTTCTGGTGAAATCATCTTAATGCCCTTATGGATCTTATATGTTATTGCTGAGTGTGTGTTAAAGCTAACATTCAGCTGCAAACGTGTAACATTTTGGCTTAATGTTTGTAAAAAAGGGATATATTAAGCTTTTAAATCCTTCCTCTTGACATTTAAGCTGGAAATTGTATGACCTTGTTTAGCAGTTCTGCAGCAAAAACTGTGACATTATTGTTCAAAATATGTAACAGGGAAAATAAAAAAATGAACAGATTGAAAAACATGAACCAAACAGAAAATAAAAATTACTATGCAGCACTATGAGAGACTAAATTCAACTTTTCGACACTCGACTCCAAGTACACAATAAAATGTATTTAAGGGGTAAAAAAAAAACTAATTATCTTTTTAGTATGTCCTAATTTCAGGAGGCTGTAGAGCCTTTTTGATTCAGAATGACTCCAAAAGTTTCAGTTGTAGGTGAACATCCAATGACCACTTTGAGAGTTTTGCAAAATCTGTCCAGCGACTCATGAGACATTTATTATGTTTGGCTTTTATATGGCACCCAAGGTGCAAACTGAATGACTCTAAAAACACTGGAGTACACAAACAAAACTTTAATGACTGAAATAACTGGCTGACGGGGCAGTAAAAGTACTTACAGACACTGGGGAGCAAACATGAGTGGCCATGGAAGACACAACAATACACCGACACAAGCTAAATACAGCAGACAGAATGTTAAGGAATACTAACGAGGTAGGAAAGAGACACACCTGGGGAAAGACAACGAGGTTCAGGTGGGYGGAGTCAATGTAGAGACAGACTGAGGAGTGCTGAACTGATGACACGGACCACAGAAACACCAGAACACGGGAACAGAAACCTATAGAGGAAATATTCAATAAAGCAAATACAGAGAAGAGAAACACAAACCGTGACAATTTGAAAGGGATCCCCGATTAGTTGTAATATTAAACCTTATATGATAAACATATACTTTAACTGTAAAATAAACACTGTAAAAATACTGTAGGATGTTCAGTGTTTATAATTTTTAAACAAAAAGTTTAAAAATACATTACACAGACGGGGCCATTTTATTTACATGCAAAGCATTCTGGGTAAATGATGACATCAACTAGGTCATCGGTGCAAGGCTGCTAGCGAGCTATATCCACCCTGAAGGTTAATCTTTGACAATATCTGATGATCGACTCTTTTAAATGAAACCAGAGAGCGTTGACAGAGAGGAGAARGTAGAAATGACTCAGCCTGTAACTGAAAATATGGATGGAGGACAACAGAGCTGCTTCATGGAAGAAGAACCTCAGCTCAGTCTGTTAGCTTTAGCATTAGCCCCGATGTATCACCATATATGTATTAGCTCAGTGCTACACATTCTCCTCTCATCACTGAGGTCCTCCATCCACATGACAGAGAGGGGAATGCAAAAATGACTCAGCTTGCAACTGAAAATATGGATGGAGGACCTCASTTTAGCTTGTTTGTTGCATCAGCACCGAGCTAATACATATAAGGCAATATAGCATGAGGGCAATGCTTATTAAATAAAGTTTAATGTTACAACTAATCGTGGAACCCTTTAAGATAACAAGAGTTGACTTCAAAATGTTTTTAAAACAGATCTCATTTGCTCAGTGCTTAGAGCAGGGGTGTCAAAATCATTTACGCTGAGGGCCACATGAGCACTATGGTGGTCCTCAAAAGGCCAGTTGTAATTAACTTTGATGTTTCATGTTTACCTTCTACTAAACAGAGATTGTCATGTTCCTCATCTCATTGCTATGGCTGAGCACTGCTAACAATCAATAACTGGGATTTATGTGGTATTTCATGTATTTTGTATGGCTTCTTATAAACAATTACAGTGGTGAGCACCAGGCCGCTAAATCGCAAACCTTCCAATTGCGGACCTAAATATTTCATTTGAGCTCTAAAAGTCTTACAAATCTTTGTAATTCCTAAGCAGGTTTGCGCTTTTAAAAATTAAAATGCAGTACCGCTAATAACTAATTATCTACCAGTCATCATTATGTTGAACAGCAGAATGTATGGCTGTCAGTGAATCACAACAAATGTGATCTATTCAACAGCACCCATCCCAGATAAACACAATTACTGGGAAGGTATATGTCCTTGCTGACTGTTGTTTTCGGTCACGGTTCTCATTTTACAGATATTTCCCACAATGCTTTGTGTCTGCTTATGTAGCAGGAAGGCATTGGTTAGAACTATGTGACCGGGCGACACTCCCTGTCCCAGCAAAAACAGTTAAAGGCCATGTAAAGTAAAATTAAATTTGTGTTTTGAGTTTGTCACACAACAGGAATATGTCTTATCAATCACCCATCTAAATTTGACTGATTAAAAGCATTGTTTACTTTATAAAATTAAGTCTCAAAAATAATGAAGAAACATCATTGGCTCTATTCTGAAAATGCTGGAGGCGTGTCAGCTGGAGGCGCTGAAACCACTCCCATGTGCTGAGGTCACTGTGTCCGTGTACTGTACTGAGGAGGAGATGTTTGCGAAGGCTGGAAGCCTATTGGAGTTCTCCAGCCCTACTCATTCGCCGGACGTATTTCCTCCGGGCGGTGCGCCGCGGCCGGCTCTGGGTCGGCAAGGAAGGGCTCGGGGGCGAAGGTGGCTCACGGTCTTGGCCGCGAGCTTTACAGCACCCTCTCTGCTCCGATCTCGCCGCTTCCTGGGGCCGCGGACTCAGTGCCTCGCTGTGCCCTCTCTCCCCGCGGTCCCCCGCTACCCACCCGACCCGTCTTAAAACACGGACCAAGGAGTGTAACGCGCGTGCGAGTTGGAGGGTCCCCCGAAACCCGAATCATGCACTAAATAGCCAACACTTAGAATTTTTACAATATAAGCACAAACAGCAACTTACTACGTTTATTGGGTGAGGCATTATCCCTTCGTCAGGTGCAGGAGAGGTGGCGATGTCGGGAGGAGAGTCCGGGGGTGGTGGGGGGGTCGGTAGAGCCTCATGAACCAGCACCAAATGACCCAACTAGTCCATAGATCCCAACTGTGTCTCCAGGTAGTGAGTAGAACCATCTGGAGTAAAATGGGTATTGTTTAGCTAGCTAACAACARCAAAATATCTATGCTATTGCTATCTGATGCTATCTGCAATTAGCAAGTGAACAGCAACGGTCGAGGCGAAGAAGTTTTTATATTGCTGGAGCAGTAGGGGGCGGGGTTAAGCCGGGGTTATGTTTAAGGCGGCCGCGTGACGAAACGCAGCCGCCTTTTAAAGCACGCCCAGAAAATCTTGAAACAATCATATCTTTAAACACAAATTGATCTATACCTCCAAAATTAAAGTATCTACAGTTGTGACTTTTTACTCATTTACAACAATGCAATTGTGACATTTATAATGTTTAATGAAGAAAATATTAAAATTTACTTTACACGGTCTTTAATGTTTGTAATCCATACTAAAATTTTGAATGTATTGATTTATTTTACTTTACAATCGGAGCTGCCTTTTTTAAAAAAATAATAAAGTTTGAACGCTGGAGTTCAATACTTGACGTAATTGGTCGAAACAATCGGCCAACGGGCTTAGAGACACAGAAATGATTTAAAGATGTTATGCTGATGACGACAGACATCTAGTGATCAATTGGAGTGACAAGAAAAGTATGGAAAACTTTAAAATCCATGCTCTTATTTTGAAGTGAAGATAGTTTCCTGTACTCCGTGCTTCCGTTTCCYGTCACAAATCAAATCCGTCATGTACCCAGAATGCATCGCTTCAGTTTTCCAATAAACAGTTTTAAAATTACTTTATTGATGCTTCTTTAATGAAAAATCTACAACAAACAAAAGAAAATGGCAAAGAAGCAGCCGAACTAGCAATCTTCAACAACTTTTTTACTTTTACACCATGAGCCAAAGGTCTGTTTCATGAAATCACATCCCCAGCAATCAGCGGTAGTAGGATTAAGCTGTAAAAGAGTTCGTACACCTTGTAGTTGGCAGTAATGTGCAAATATGGTTCATGACTTATTGCCARTGAGCATCAGGTTTGCTTCCACTATGTAATCTACGGCATAAGAACTTAAATCTATGCATAAGCACTTTAGAATTTGCGGAGATAATTTTGGGATTAGCGTTGCTCACCACTGAACACTGAAAAGTACCACATGTACAACTGACTAAACTTGAAATGGGGAGACCAGGTATGGTTGTAACACTTTTTGGTTCACCATAGAACTCCTTGATTTTTGGAGGTAGAGTTCTCAAACCGTTTTACATAATACTCAGGTGTTTACTACAAATGGTACTGATTGAAATTCCTATAAGTACATCATAGACTTTGTGACTTAATGTCGAGACACAAAGTCTCTTTGTTACAACTTACCCCGTAGTGGGGTAGGTTGTAACACTTGGGGTGAGTTGCAACAATAAGCCAAAAGAAGAAAAAATTGATTTCATTTGAGAAATACAACAACCCAGAACAAAGTTTGTCACTTTTTTCAAATAATGTCAAACACCCAATTTAGTCCTCTCCCCTGGYTAATTTGTCAGTCTGCTGCTAGACTCAAATAATCATAAGATGATCTTGTACCTCAGAAAACATTGCTAGTTCTGTTACAAACACTGGTAAGATCACTGGATCCCTGTTTCCTCAGAGTCTGTAGTGATTTGCAGTWTCTCRTCASTGTAGATGGGAAATCCCATGTTCTTTCTCCACAGGTCTGATGGGCTGTATTATAGTGTTRCAACCCACACCACACCTGTCAGCCATTGTTTAGTTAGCTGTATTAGCATTGTGCTTTGAAATTAGCTGAGGAAAAATGTATCACATTTTTCATGAGAAGATAACTTTTTTAATCTSCATCAGTTTTGTGATAGCTGTAACTGTGTAGGCACAAAACAAAATATACCTTTGGTAAAAATAAATAAATAAAATAAAACTTTCTTACCTCAAAATCATTTTTTCTCATTAAAATCTGAACACACCAACTTTCAACCCTGATATCCACCATGTGAGATTGGGAAGTGAGTGGCTTAATATTGAAATAATCACACAAATTCTATCTGCTTTCTAAATGGTCGAACTGGTGGCGTTACAACTCACCCCGTGTTACAATCATCCATGGTCTCCTCTAAATAATACAGAAATATTATTAAAAGTAAAAGTAAGAGTTTTATTCATTGCTGAGTTATGATGAGTAATTAATGTCTTAAATTTTGAACTATCCCACTTTCTGACAGGGAATTCCCACTGGAGGGGAGTTCCAGTTTAAATTTACAACTTGTAAGTGAGGAATTCCCATTTCCCAGTACAACTGGGCAAAATGCAGCTGAATAGAGAATTTATATCAGCAAATGTACTGTGTGCCTACTGCCCTGTGCACCTCMAAATAGTGGTGGGAAACCTTCATTTTRTAGGTAAAATAATCAGCATGATYATAGAGATGTAGTATWTAGTCAATGCTGGCTTTCAAGCAGCATTTGCTTGTTTTAAGGGATTAATACATATTGAAGCTTCCGTGGGCCACATAAAATTTCAAACTTGTGGCTTACATTTYATGAGGTTTAGTCTGAATGATGACAACATATAAAAATATAAAAATAAATGACTGAACACCAACATTTTGGTGTTTGCTAAGCTGCTGTGGTCTTCAAATAGAATTAACTTCCAAAAGTTGATTATTTGTTGATGTCTGCTTAATAAT